GATTAACAGTAGGGGAGATTGTTTACAAAGGGGTAGCAGGAGGGAATACAGAACAGGGAGGGAGGTAAAAAAGGAAACAGTATTTCATATTAAATTATCTAGAATAAAATCTAAGAAATCTGTGAGTGCTCCCAGAACATACCTTCTTAAGAGGAACCTTAAAATAGGATGTTAACGACAACCTTGGTTTATCACTTGCTAGAGGTCAGGAGAAGGAGTTTAAATCATTTCTAAAGAGCAAAGTACCTTGAGGGATGCTGGCTCCGGCGAAAGCACCTCCAACGAAGCATTTGAACCTCTGCTCTCAGGACGTGTTCTTGAATTTGAGGCTGGTTTTGAAATTCCATCCAAGTTTCCCTTTATAATATCCATTGATATTCTGAAACAAACAAAAATTTTTAAAGCAAGTTATGACATGTATGTAAATGTTTCATTACTGTTAATATGCAATTAATTCAGAGCCTTTGTTATAAAGATTTATGTTGCTACCAAAATCACACTACCCTAATTTCATCAAAAGACATCTGTGTCCGTGGATCATTAAATCTCATCTCATTGTAGGTGGAAATGATGCTGCCTAGGATGTTAGATTCCAAAAGTGGCTAAAAAAGAATGCAAGAGTAAGTGCCATCTTGATGGCTTCCGATGGCTCTGACAAATATTTACCGTGTCCTTTGACTGAGGAGACACTCATGAGCACCGCACCTCTCAACCACGATTCGGGCTTTGTTGTAATGACTGGCTAAGGCCTCTACTTTCTTCAGGCTTTGCTTTCCTTCTTCCAGCCTTTCTCATGCTAGCTCAGCCTTCCGCCTGGTTTCTCCTCTCAGCTGATTTCTCCTCTCCTCCCTGATGCCGCATTGTGAAGGAGAACCTATCTCCAGGTCACTGATCTGTTTCTATCCACCCTCCCCTTCCTAAAACCCACGATTCTACTTCTGCCCTCTGAAACAACAGAGAACTAAACCTACTTTCTCTCCTAGGGGATAGATTTTCATTATCTGTATACACATCACCAATCTTTCTTTTTTTTAATTATTTTTTATTGTGAAATACACATTTTTTTAGAATTAGTTTCAGCTGCACAACACAGTGCAATAGTTATACTTTTTACCTCGAGGTGACAACCCCCCTCCCCCAATCCGCCACCCCACTTCCACCCCAATGTCATACATATTACAATTCCCTTGACATACAATATTATGCAACATCAGAATTATATTCCTTGAATATTGTAGTTACGTATTTATGCTGTCTAATCCCTTCCCTTTCTCCCTCATCCCCACCGCTCCCAGCTAACAACCATCAGTTGCTCCTCTATATCTCTGAGACCATTTCTGTTTACTTTGCTCGTTCATTCAGTTTTTTAGATTCCACATATAAGTGAAATCATATGGTATTTGTCTTTCTCTGACTGACTTATTTCACTTAACATAATAGTCTCT